GCCGGCTGCTTGCGCGACAGAGCTCTGTCGGCCCTGCTGTGCCGGCGAAGGAGCAGAAGGCAGAGGTGACAGCGATTGTGGGTGTGCTGGGATAAATCCGAAGTCAAGAGCTTGCTCCCTGACGAATGAAGGGTTCCGAAGGCGCGAACCACATCAGGATGCGGGTCCTTCCCCTGGAGAGGGACGGTCTCCCGGGGTGAACTCTCGGCGCTGAGCAGGCACCGAAGCGATGGAGACGCTGTTGAAGCTTCTGTCTTTGAGGGGGAAGGAGTACGCTGAGGCTTGCTCGGCTGAGAGCTGCTTGCTGGAGGGGTTGCTGAGCCGAGAGCAGGCTGCAGCTGGAGCTGGCATGGCCTACGGCTCTGGCTGCTCATAGATAGACTTAAGGGGCCTGGGTGAAGTGGGGCTGCAAATGGGCCGGTGAGGGAAGATTTCGCCTGCAAAAAGGATCCTTCCCGCAGGACTTTCTCATCTTGGCCGTGGCTCGGGGTCGTTCTGTAAGCGTCAGCCCGTGGCTGTGGTTAGCATTACATTCATGAGGGACAGACCCTGGCGGCGTGCATGGAGTGAATCTGCAGAGGTAGTGCCAAGGGAAAGTTTAGCCACGAAGAAAGTTCACTTAACAATTTTTTTTTTTGGCCATTTTTATTATTTTATTATTGTTACTTATTTGAGGTCTTAGGGTAAGGCCAAGGTTTGCGTCCAGAGAGAGACAAAGCCTAGGGGTCTAGGTGGAGTGGGACTGCAGAGGAGCTGCCAAGGGAAAGTTTGGGCTGCAGAAAGTGGGTTCTGGGCAATTTTAGGGTTAGAAGAGAGACAGTTCCTAGGGGTCTGCTTGTGATGGGTCTGCAAATGGGCTGCTGAGCAACACTTTGGTCTGCAGAAAAATGACCCTCAAAGACTTCAATCAGGGTCATGCTTGGGCTTAACTGGGCTAAGGTCCTGGGCATGTTTTGGGTGAGGAGAGGACAGTTCCTAGGGGTCTCGCTGGAGTGGGACTGCTGAGGGAAGCTCTCGGGTGCAGAAGGAATTCTCTGAGGACTTTTTTATCTGGGCCACATTTGGGACTGTCTGGTGTTCAAGCCCTGTGCACTTCTAGCGTTAAGGTTTAAAGATAGACAAAGCCTAGGGATCTAGATGAAGCAGGGCTGCAGACAGGCTGCCAGGGGAAGGTGTGGGCTGCCAAACCAGCTCTCTTCTGAGAACATTTTCATCTGTGCCGTGGTTTGGATTTTATGGGCTTAAGGGCCGCTTCAAGAGTTAGGATTAGAAGAGAGACAAAGCTGGAAGGTCCTGTTGTGGTGGGCCTGCAAAAGGGCTACTAAGGGCACGTTTGTGCGTCATAAAGAATTCTCTCCTGGGAGCTTTTCCATCATGGCTGTGGTTTGGGGTCTTTGGCTAAGGTCAACCCACAGTTAAAATTAGGGCTAGGGTAAGGGATGTGGTTTAGAAATGTTACAAAGTCCTGGTGTGAGTTGTTTGTTCAGGGAGGAGGGGGGTGTTGATCAGGATTTGAAATGGGAAGTATTGGGATGAAGGAAGAGTTCTCCCCTGTGAAGGAATTTAGTCCCACGAAAGCTTAAACAGAGCATGAGTAGCATAATAGATCTTTAGTTTCATGAGAATCCTACCAGTGCCCCACTAGTGCAGGACTTTGATTTTCCTCTGGAACTCAGCCATCTTTATATGCTGTTTGTCTGGAATCAAAACTTCACTTTCCAGTCACTGCTCAAGGCACAAAACTTTGTGTCTTAGCTGGTAAAGTCAGTGATGTGACTGCTGGTAGCTGGAGTTCCCCACTGGGCACATTCACACAGTGTGCTCCAGAGCGTTTAACCACTCTTCTCACCATAATATATCCATTAACCAATAACATGTTATTCTTCAAGGTTTCTTATATTTGCCATGGGGCCTACAATAAATATAACCTGATACAATCAATATACCTGGTAGCAGGTGGTGTTTATAGCAGCGTATTAAGCATCAACATTTTCTGTACAGCGAAAAGGAAAAAAAAAACAACATTTAGGAATGCATTTACCTCATTAAAGTAACTTGTGTTGCTATGTTTTTCCTTGTCTCATTTTCCTCCACTCCTTGGCACAAAGTAACCTGTTACTTTGTGTTTGCCTTAATCTAGATACCAAATCTAACCATTTTTTTTTTGGCACGCACTGTTCACTTTTAAGGATTTTTCCCCATGTCTTTTTTGCATCCACTTGTCAACTACACATTTCAGTGAGGCACCTGAAATAACCTGACATTTTACTAATCGCCAACAGCCTTCTGAGACAAGTCTCTGTGCTTTGGCATGCTGACAGCTGTTCTGTTTTTTTCAGTATGTGCCGTTACTTCCTGGCCCCAACTGTGATCTCAGAAAGTTAACAGGTTAGATTCTCTTCTGTCAGGAAAGACCTGCAAAGCCTTACTTCTGGTTTTAGTCATTCAAACAAAGAATTAGACCGCTGGTCAAGAGAT